GGTTTACATTAAGTGTTTATTTTACATTTATATTTTACATACACTTCCGCTTTTATCATCATCTGTGCTTCACACTTGTGAAGCTTTGTTTACATGTCTTGTGGAGCTTTCTTTGAATATCTCATGGAGATTTGTTTACATGTATTGTGGAGCGCAAGTGGAGTCCACATGGAGATTTCTTTACAAGTCAAGTCTCTGAAACAGAGGCGTTGTTATGGGGGGTAGTAGTGGCTAAAGGTATGGGACTTGGGCTCTGTGACAATTACAAACCATATATATATCAAATTATTACAAGTTCTATTTACATCGCAAAAAGCTACTACGTTCCGCCTCTGGTTTGGAATCAACTGCCTGTAACTGTAACTTAATCAGAAAGAAAAGCAATGCACCAAAACAATGCTTTTGTTAAAACTTTTAGAGAATCTATGAAATCTTTTTCAACAACCGTATTTAATTTCCCAAGTCTTTCAAGAGTCTGGAGGCCCTGGTCACATAAAAATTACTTAGAGTGCATTGCACCCTATATCCTGGGATTGTGCTTGAAGCATTGAGGCAAAAACAAATGGTCCCTTCTTGCCAGCAGATCTTTGGCATATTTTCCCAATACTTTTGTCCTGGTTCATCAAACTGGTCAACATTTGAAAAAAAGAAGTTTTAAGTGGGGTTTAACAATAATACTTTTCGGATATTAATAGACAGTACAAAAATTTGGGAATAGAGTATATTCAAATTTCAGCATGATTGTTCTAGTTTAAATAGACCCTTGATTTTGAGACCTTCCTCCTCTTAGTAAATGAAAAAATACTTGAATATTTAGACAATGTTTTAGTAAAACAATGATAAAAGAAAATTGATTATTTTTCTGGAAAACATTTCACTCTTCAAACAAGGAAACGTCAGCCTTTTCCCAAATATATACATGTTTATATTAAATAAAATTAATTTATAAAAAATGTGATAACATAGGATTTTTCTTAAGAGAGTGGAATCTGGAACACATCCTTTAAAGGAACCAAAGTTTTTGGAATTCTACTTCATGCTGGCAGTGCTGTTTGGGTTGTTCTGCTATTGCAGGAGTGAAAACCCAACTTGCCAAATGAAGTCAAATAGAACCATGGTGACTGTTATCCAGAGACGTAACCACTGTGGAATAATTTTCACATGGTGAAGCCAACCATATAATTTTTGAAAATTCCCAGCAGGAAACTTCATGCTAAGTTTTGGAATATTAATGTCTGGAGTTAGCATAAATCGGGTTTTCTTGATGTTTAATCACATGGGAATGTCAGTGATTTGCACAAGATCCTTCTTAG